GTGGAGGAACGTCAGGTTTGGGTGGTGGGACCTTTTTTGGGGTGGTGGGACCTCAAATTTGGTGGAAGAACTTCAAGTTTGGGTGGTGGGACCTCAGGTTTGGGTGGTGGGACCTCAATTTGGGTGGTGGGACCTCATTGGGGGTGGTGGGACCTTGATTTGGGTGGAGGAACCTCAGCTTTGGGTGGTGGGACCTCAGGTTTGGGTGGTGGGACCTCAGTTTGGGTGGTGGGACCTCAAGTTTGGTGATGGGACCTCGATTTGGGTGGAGGAACGTCAGGTTTGGGTGGTGGGACCTCAAATTTGGTGGTGGGACCTCATTGGGGGTGGTGGGACCTCAATCCGAGAACTTTAGATCTTCTCTGAGCTCCTCCGTGACCTCCAAACCCCCCCAAGCTCGGTTGTCCCAACCCCCGTGGTGACCCCGAGATGTCTCCATCAAGTCCAAAGGTGTCTACGAGAAGGTCGGGGAGGCCACCGAGACGGCCTTGACCTGCCTGGTGGAGAAGATGAACGTCTTCAACACCGACGTCAGGAGCCTCTCCAAGGTGGAACGCGCCAACGCCTGCAACGCCGTGAGTGTCACCTGGGCCACCACCCGGGGACATCTTCTGGGTCACCTGGAGGAGGTCCTGGTGGCACCTTGGGTTTGGAGGTCTCCATGGGCTGGTGTCCCATGGAGAATCCAGAAGTTGTTGGAGGTGGGTGGGGTGGGTTTTGATGGAGAAGTTCCTTCAGGAACCTCCAAGATTTCCATGGAGAACCCAGAGTTCCTCCAGGAACATCAGAAGTTCCTCTGGAAAACCCAAAGTTCCTTCAGGAACCTCTAAGATCTCCATGGGGAACCCAAAACTTCTTCTGGAGAACCCAAAGTTCCTTCAGGAACCTCCAAAATTTCCATGGAGAACCCAGAACTTCTTCTGGAGAACCCAAAGTTCCTTCAGGAACCTCCAAGATTTCCATGGAGAAACCAAAACTTCTTCTGGAGCACCCAAAGTTCCTCCAGGAACCTCCAAAATTTCCATGGAGAACCCAGAACTTCTGGAGAACCCAAAGTTCCTCCAGGAACCTCCAAGATCTCCATGGAGAACCCAAAATTTCTTCTGGAGAACCCAAAGTTCCTCCAGGAACCTCCAAAATTTCCATGGAGAACCCAAAATTTCTTCTGGAGAACCCAAAGTTCCTCCAGGAACCTCCAAAACTTCTTCTGGAGGACCCAGGCCATGATTGTCCTCTGTCCCACCTGTCCCAGGTGATTAAGCAGCTGATGAAGAAGGAGTTCACGCTGGAGTTCTCCAGGGACAGGAAGTCCATGTCGGTCTTCTGCTCCCCAGCCAAGGCCTCCAGAGCAGCCGTGGGCAACAAGATGTTCGTCAAGGTAAGGTGACCTGGATGACGTCATTTGGTGATGTCATCTGTGTCCCACCACTTCCAGACCAGGTCCCACCATCCCAGACCTTCTCAAACCTGGGTTCCACCACCCCAGACCTTCTCAAACCCAGGTCCCACCACCCCAGACCTTCTCAAAGTTGGGTTCCACCACCTCAAAGTTGGGTCCCATCACCCCAGACCTCAAACTCAGGTTCCACCACTCCAAACCTTCTCAAACCTTGGTCCCACCACCCCAGACCTTCTCAAACCCAGGTCCCACCACCCCAGACCTTCTCAAACCCAGGTCCCACCACTCCAAACCTTCTCAAACCTGGTTCCCACCACCCCAGACCTTCTCAAACCTGGGTTCCACCACCCCAAACCTTCTCAAAGTTGGTTCCGACCACCCCAGACCTTCTCAAACCTGGTTCCCACCACCCCAAACCTTCTCAAAGTTGGGTCCCACCACCCCAGACCTTCTAAAACCCAGGTCCCACCACCCCAGACCTTCTCAAAGTTGGGTCCCACCACCCCAGACCTTCTCAAACCCAGGTTCCCACCACCCCAAATCTTCTCAAACCCAGGTTCCCACCACCCCAAACCTTCTCCAACCCAGGTTCCACCACTCCAAACCTTCTCCAACCCAGGTTCCACCACCCCAAACCTTCTCAAAGTTGGTCCCCACCACCCCAAACCTTCTCAAAGTTTGTTCCCACCACCCCAGATTTGGTTCCCACCACCTCAAACCTTCTCAAATCTGGTTCCCACCACCCCACCAA